CTGCTCGGCGCTGAGTGACAGCTGCTAATTTGCCGGCCGTGCCCCGCTGCCGGTCCCCGCTCTCCCCGCGCCCTCCTTTATCTTATCAGAGCCCATAATTACAATTGCTATTTTGTTTCCTCGAATCAGCAATCAGCGCTATCTGCCGCCGCTGGAAAGGCAGCTCCTGTCAGCCGGCCTCTGAGTGACAGAGCGGAGGGCCCGCACCGCCACACACGCACGCACACACACACACACACACACACACACACGCACACAGAGCCCTCCTGCACACACGCACAGCCCTCGCGCACACAAACACACACAGAGCCCTGCACACTCCCATGCACAGCCCTCCTGCACACACGTGCACACACACAGCACTCCCGCACACACACACACACAGAGCCCTGCACACTCCCATGCATAGTCCTCCTGCACACACACATGCACACAGCCCTTCTGCACACCCATGTGCACACACAGAGCACTCCCGCGCGCACACACACACACACACACACACAGCCCTCCTACACACACATGTATGTACAGCCCTGCATGCACACTCAGGCACAGCCCTCCTGAACACTCACAGCCCTTCCACACACACCCACACAGCCCTTCATACACACTCAGCCCTCACACACACATGTGTATGTAGGCATAAGCACACATACATACAGCCCCCCTGCGCTCATGCACATATACCCACACAGCTCTTACATACGCACACATGCACACATACGGGTCCTCCACACACACACTACCCTTCCCCACAAACACACACAGCCCTACATGCACACACTCATACCCGCACACATGCTACGTTGAGCCCACACAGGCATACACCCCCAGCGCAGACCCACGCAGCCCTTCACTCGCTCCTCTCCGCACACTTGTGCCCCCAAAACACACCCCCCACATTGCACACATAGGCACCTGCAGTCACGGACAGGGCATTTTTCTCCCTCTCTCACGCACACTGACATCCAACTCACTCTTTTCCCCCTTGCTCAGGCACCCACCGGCCACCAACCCTGAACACACATGCACCCGTGCCTCTCCCACCACACATCACCGCTTCACCCCAAAAAGCTGCTGGCCGTCAGCCCTGGGCACACATCTCAGGAGGACTGTGACAGCCGGGATGCCCAGGGGTTAAACCCCTCACTAAATACACAGTACAGTGAGTCTGAGCTGGCACAGCCCATCTTTAAACTCCTTCCCCGGCTGGGGGGGGAAACTACCTCTTTCTGGCCCTAGGTTCCAACAGAATTAGCCTCTTGTTGCATTTTTATTCCCTTTCTCTTGGTGCAGAAGGCGGGAAGGATGTTTCTGAGGGGGTTTTCTAAATGTACAGAGAAGCTTTTGGCTGAGCCTGCATTTAGGGCAGGATTGGTATTGAATCTGCTCAGCTGAAATAGGAGAGAGTTTCCATGGGCGGCAAACGCTCACACATTTCATCAGCCTAGCACACATCTGGGAGAAAACCCCTCCGTGTTAAACTACAGCAGCAGCTCACTTTCCAAGGCAAGGGTGAGACAGCGCCCCACATCCATCTCTCCAGATTGCCTAAGGAGATCTTCAGCAAAACCAAGGCAGCACTTGACATTCCTGACACACTAAATTAAAACAATCCTCCTTTTATATATATATATATAAATTACAGGGGTTTAGACACTGCCTCCCTTTCGCAGATGCTGCTCTCACTCCTCAGTGGCCACCCCTGCTTTACCTCTGGTGGGTGCACGGTCAGGCCGTGCGTTCGCCTGCAAACATCGGGGAGCATGAATTGCACGTCTGTCCCAGCCTGGCCACGTCCGCCTCACAGTGTGCAGCAACACCATGTCCAGAACACCAGGGCTGGCTTCAACCAGGAGATTTACGATGTCCCGTATGGGGTCAGAGGCAGCCGCGAGCTGACAGCTCCGGGTGCCCCCTGCCCTCGACAAACAGGCTCAAGTGCCAGTCATGGCTGTAAAATCAAGTCGGTGCGGGATCACCCAGGGGCAGCCACACTTCGCCTGACACTGGATGACAGATGATGCTCCTGCCATCCATCCTCAGGCCCAGGGCAAGCACCGTCCATGGCCACGGCCTCCTACCTGCCCCACCTGTCTTGTGGGCATGTAAGAGACCAGAGCAGCCTGGTGACAGCAGCGAGCAGCTGAGGACTGGGCAGCATCTAGGCTGCTGGGCTAGTCCCACCTCTGCTGCCGCCTCCAGGCTCACGGCCCTCTGATTTGCTCCTAGCGGGTAAGTCAGGTGCCTTTTTAGAGCCTCCTTCCAGCTCACCAAGGAGTCACCCATGTTTTTATGAAGAACGAAACTTGCCCCCCACCCCCTCCTTTTTAAGTAAAAAGCAAAGCTCTTTGGAAACTCTTTCTCCTGTGTAAGGAAACCCAAAGCAAATCAATCTGCATATCTGCTCCTTTGCAGGCCATCTGAGCTTAGCGCCACAGTCCAAGAGGCAAGAGTCCTCTCCATCCCCAGACACTGAAGATAAATGGCCTGTCTGGCTCTCCTGCAGAGCAGAGAAACCCCAGCCTGGTGCTCCTGAGCCCAGGTGGGCCTTGGGCCAAACTACTACAGAGTTGGCAGGAGAAAAAATCCAGCTACCTGGGCAGCCAGAGTCCCCACCACACCCAGGTAGCCATCAGGCTGTAACCTCTGGAAGACCAGCCTGGCTCACAAGCTCAGGGTCTCATCCACACTCGTCCCTGGGACTGGAGAGACCCTGCTTCACGGCCACCAAAATGCTTCCATCAGATCCTGTCCTGGCACCACAATGCTTGGTTTATTGCCCCGATTTGCAGAGCTGGGCTGTGCTTGGACTGGGCTTGGGCTGAGCAGGCACAAAAATAGGTGCCTTCCTCAGAGAATAGCTTATGTATTTTATGTGCTTAGGTGTTAAATGCTATGGATGGAGCATCAAACACCAGATATCCAGGCTCTACCCCCTAGCCTGCCACACACCGGGTGGCAAGAGCTTGGGCAAGATACCTCTTGCGGTGTCCAGCTGAGGTGCCCAAGTCAGGGGCTTCTCTTTCCAAACACCCTCCTCCAAAAGGTCCCGCTTACTTTGCAAAAGCAACCTCGGTGGACAGTAAGTGCTCAGGGCAGGAGCTGGAATTGCAGTCTTGCGGTGCTTCCATGGCTGGGGTGCTCTTGTCCATGCGATGGCAACAGCCATGTAGGGCTAGTGTCCCCAGAGAAGACCCCAGAGCTGTTTTCAGCCAAATTGAACTAGGGGACAGCACAGTGGGAACAGCATGGCAGGGAAAGCGCCGGCAGGCATGGTCCCCCTGTGTTTACTCTCCTGTTCAATGCCCCCATTGCAGCCCCTGCACCTCAGCTTGGTGGCACCTGCCATGCTGAACACCCTGAAATACCAAAGGTCTGGTGTTTATTGTTGTGACTACTGCCAACCTGCTCGTTGGCCCCAGCCAAAAACCGTGCTTCATTTTCCCTTTTCCATCCTGTTTCTGCTACATCCATTTAGCCTGCCCAGCCCTTGGTGGAGTTTTATGCATAAATGCCACAGTGCTGAAGAACTGCAGGGCTGCAACACTACGAGGCAGGAGCTGAGAAAGGGAACAGGACATGATGACACTTGCCCCGGCCAGGCTGGGCCCGGACTTGCTCCCCAGCCCTTGCCACCTCAGTCCTCCCATGCCTGGCCTTTTGTCCCTGCGCAGAGCTCCTCGGCAGGAAGGTGCCATGGAGGCAGCTCCTGGAGCAGCAAGAGGAGCATCTGCTGCCAGCTTCAAATGGGTTGGCTCAGCTGGCTCCTGTGCAGGGAAATCACAGCTGTCCCATGCCCCAGAAATGGTTAGCGGCTCTCAGCACAGTGTGAAGCGATGGCTGGCCCTTTGTCCTGCCTGGAGGTGGCAGACGTGGTCACTGAGGAGCTGGGAGGAGAGTGCGGGTGCCAGGCCCCTCAGTGCCTGGCTGCCTCTCTTGCTAGGGTTCAGGGCGCATGGCCCTGGCTGCCCCTTCAAGTAGAGGATTTGAGGAGATGGAAGGGACAGCAGACAAGGGGCTGTGCAACCCCCTAGAGAACGGTCTGCCTGTGCCACCATATAGCAGAGACTGGAGAGCAGAGCAGGGCTTTCAGGAAAGGGTCTCTCACCTGTACCCCTCAGCACTGCCTCCCCCTGCCCAGGATCACCCCAGCATGGTCCTTGCTCTCTCTCAGGACCGACCTCCTTTGCACATATGTAGGAGGCAGCCAGGTCCCAGCTCCACCTTCCCACCTCCATTTCCTCGATTGCACCTCCCCTATCTGGCGCTGACCTCAGAGACAAGACAGATCAGAAATAGTCCATGGTTGCCCCTCACCGCTACAGGATGAGAAACCATAGAGCAATGCCTCCAATCTACACAGGAGATCAAGGCCAGCAAGCTGCAACTGTTCTTAACTTCTTCCTGAGCATCAGACTAAAACTTCCCCACCAGCCTCATCTGAGCCAGGGCTGAGCTCACATGCTTATTTTAGAAAGGCAGAGCCAAGAGCAGCAAAGTCAACCACTGCTATAGGGGCAACCAGTTCAGACTGGGGCAAATGAAGGCAAGGACTCCCAGCAAACTGGTAGTTAACATCAGGAAAGGGGGCTAGAAGAATTTGGGGGTGAGTGGTAGCCAGCACAACACCCATAAAAGGATTGGCTTGAACATCTCTTTACTGGGAGAAACTCCCAGGCAGAGGAACAACCGGGACATTTTTGTCCCTTGGTGGAGAAGGGCCAAAAGACACGGCTCCCAGTGCCCCGGCAAATTACTAGACCCATGGGACCAGCAAGGACACCAGAGCCCTGCAGCCTGGGCGGCAGAGGCCAGGGAGCAGGCAGTCCTGCCCTGAGCATCTCCCTCCCCTCCAGCACCTTGCGACAGAGAGCCGAAACACATGCAAAGCAGGAGCTTGCTGCATTTAACAGCCAGGCTCTGGAGGATGCTTGGCCATAAACCAGCCTTTGCCACCCCCAGATAAACAAGGTTGGGGACTTCCCAGCAGAACCAGGGAGATGCTAGTCCCCTCCACCCTCACCCTTCCCAGGCGAAGCCCCGGCAGCCTGGCACCCCCAGCCCTGCCCACTGATCCTTCACGAAGAGACCACAGCATTAATGGGGCGTTTCGGAGGCAACAGCAGCTTCTGCATGGCTGAGCGGCGCTGGGCAGCCCGGGGCGATCCCACCACTCGCCATTAACCTGGCCTCCCCCAAAGGAAAGGAACTTGGACGAACTCTGCTGAGATGTGTTACATGGGAATGACCTTGTCTTCACTACCCATAGCACCAAGGCAGCCCCCAGGGCAAACGAGGAGCGGGGAGGGGAGACAGGGCCCGCTCACAATTAATTCTCCTCTCTATTCAATTACTAGCAACAGGTTTAAGGCATGTTTCGTGTGTGGTGGGAACACCAGGGTAGGAGACTACCACCGCACTCTGATCCCAGCCCCCAGGAGCTGCGCCCTCCTCTGTGCAGGACCAAACAGGGGGATGTGCAAACCCATTAGGTCCATCTTCAACGATCTGTTCTCACGGCTTCATTTCAAGAAACCAGGCTCCCTCCTCTGCCCTATGGAGGCCATTTCATCATCTTCCATTCTTTCTGCCAACAGTTTTCTAGAAACATGGTCTTTGCTTTCATAATTTTAGGCTACGTTTCTGGAAGCCCTGCTGTCAATATTGGCTCCATCTTCCTTGAGTGCCAGCTTCCACTAAACACATGTGCACGTGCTCTTCAAAAAGCATCATGCCATAACAACCTGCAGCAGCACCAACTTTCTCGCACTCTCCCTCCCAGGGAGCTTGCGCCCTCAGACGCCTGCATGGACACCTCCTGCTCTTTCTCTTCCCTCATCCTTCAGTTTCCCCACCACTTTTGCTCCCAAACTCTATCCAATCCAAAGACAGGACCAGGATGGTTGCATAGCATAGCAAATAGCATGGGATGCCAGTTGTGTCTTGCACAGGGCTAAATGTCCCCTCTGGTTTGGGCTGTGTTGGTAGGAGCCTGGTATACGAATGTGGCGAAGAAAGAGGGAATTCTGGTCCATTCGATAACCCAGTTAGTTACCTTCTTGAAGCGACTCAAGGACAAGCATTGCTCGAGTCTCGGTAATGTCTAGATGATCCTTGGCCTCAAGCAACACACCATGGCCGTGTGCTGACTCTCAGGCGGTGATGCTCATGTGGGTTGGACGAGTTCGCATTGGGCTCTGCTTCTCATCCAGGCTGGATGATTTGGAGGGCAGCTCACCTCACCCTGCTAGCCAGGCTGTCAGCACAGCAAGGCCGGCTGGGAGCTGGTCTCAGTGTTCTGTAGTTCAGCATGTGGCAGATTTGCTCCTGGTCCCCAGGCACATCCTCAGACAGTGTCAGTGCACGGGCATGTTTGGCAGTGGTTGAATGGAGGACACCGTTTCACCCAGCTCTGCGCTGGCCCTTCCCGACACAGACATAGCCGGATAGCTCACAAACCCATGACTAAGCCAACACTGCCAGCAGCTCATTGCCTTGGAGTGATAGCTAGCATGGGTTTTCAGAGCAAGGTGTGGAGTGCTGCACTCACTAACCAGGCCTGAGGCAGGAGACGTTAGTGGGGGGCATGCAGGGGCAGGCCTGGGGCACTCCTCCAAAGCACCAAGTATTGAGACACCCAGGTGGAAACAAAGCAGGTCACTCACAGGGCCTTAATCTGGGGGGCTGAGAAGGTCTGAGCTGAACCGTACATCCCCTGGCAGAGCCAGAGCCCCACCAGTGCAGTTTGTGGATGCGCAGAGGGGTTTTCCATTGCTGCAGAGAATCTATCTCACTGCTGCATTTGGATCTGGCATTCACACTTGGCGCACAAAGGAGATGCAGTGGAGGGTTCAGGGATGAGCCAGGTGCATGGGTAAAGCTCTGACAGCACCAAGCAACTCCAGGAGCCTTATGGAGGTCTTTGATGGGGAGATGCAACCCTGGGCCAAAAGCATCTGCAAGGAGAGAGAACCAGGATCACTTGGAGGCTGCCCAGCACAGGAAGGGGTCCTGCAGCATCCCCTACCCTGGGTAATTTAAACCCAAGTTCAAGCATTACCGTGCAAAGCTGTTCTGCATCAAGCAGGGGTTGGTAAGTGAGCAGCCTCGCCTGGGGATGGCCATGACAGACACATGCACAGGGAAGGGGTGACATGCATGGACACGTGGATGAGGGTGTGCATGCGCATGGCATTTAAATGACTCCATTTCTTTCCCGACCCCGTTGTGTAGACCTAGCAGGGACTCCAGGACCTGGGCCCAAAGCATTTTGGGTCCTTTGCCCAACCTGAGCAGCAGCACTCTCCTAATGGTCTTTGGTCAAACATCACCAGCTGGGGCTGCGAAGTGGAAGCAAAGCCATGCTGGCTTGGAGGTGGGCTCCACCGGCCACCCAGAGAGGTGGGCGCCATCACTCAGCATCTGAGGGTCACTATCCTCTCCTTAGGACGGGCTCAGAGGAACTTCATGGCCACAAGGAGCTCAGCCAGAGAGCTAGAAAACCCCAGCTGCTGCCCAGCTCCAGCCTCACTCCCAGCCAGCAGAGCTGGGTGATTTGGCTTTGGTTTGGTTCCTCTCAGGAAGAGGATGCCTGCACCCAGCCTGGGGAGGGGAGATTTAAACCTAAAGCTAATAGTGGTGGCTGGGGGTGGGCATGGGGGGACTGGCTGTCGGCTGTAACTCTACCTTGGTTTGTTTGCTTACAGCATCCACCCAAAATGCCCGTGTGTGTCTCTGGGCCTCTATGTCAGTGGCAGCTGAACTACTGACCCCAGGAGTTTGCAAAACACAAGGGTTATGGCCCCTTTGACATCCCAGCCCAGCAGAGATGCAGCTCGTCCTGACCCCAACCCCAGAGAACCAGGCCCTGGGGCACCCCACACGGCCCTGTGAGATGCAGGAGGGATGGAGGGAGGCTGCGGGGCCAGAGACAGCGAATCCCCAAAGTGGTGGTGAGGTGGGCACGCTCCTCATCGCACCTGCTGGCCCTCCCGAGGAAGCTGCAGCCCCTCAGCTCACGGGCTGACCCCTGCCCTCCTGCCACAAGCCCCGCTGCTAACTCTTATCCCAGCCTTACCCTCATCCCTTCAGCTCCCGTCAGCCCTGCAGCCCCCATCCCACGCCGGCACTGGGGCTGGCACAGGAACCCTGCCCCTCCCCAGCTCCCAGGCCCAAGGCCCTGTCCGGTGTGTGCATTGTTTCTCGTATCTCTCTGCTTTGGGAGAGCTGGAGCATACGATCCCAGGTAAAAGCACTGCCCCAGCCATGGAGGCAGCCAATAACTAGCTTCTCCCTGGCCATGCAGGACGAGCTGGGGCTGGTGCTTCCACTCCATCCTGGAGACATGGCCACGGCACCTATGAGATGCCCCGGCCCCGCTGCGGTGCAGACACCCTCCCCAGGGTGTGTGGTGACAGGTCAGGGCTGTGAGCCTGGCGGGGACCAGCCTGGGCCAAGGAGTGAGCACACCGGGAGTGCAGATGGGGTTTGACAGCTCTCCAGAGACGCTGCTCCTACTTTTCCCCAGGGAGCCCAAATCCCACCTCCTGAGGGCTCAGCCTCTCTGCTAGATCATCCTGCTTCACCGCGGGCGACGTCCAGCAGGACGGGCCTGGCGCAGACAAGATCCCCGTCGTCTGCACGCGCTCCCTCCTCCACTCTGCTCATCAGCGTAGGCGCTGAGAGCAGCAGCCGTTTGTATCCAGCCCTGATAACCTCGTGGGCTGCAGCTTGGGGCTCTCCATGCTGCTAAGAGCCCATGGGAGGAAGCAGGGGCTGAAGGCAGGCCGGGGTGCCCCAGCATAGCAGCACCTATGCAGAGCCACCAGCAGCGAGGACACCGCAGAGGCCACATCCTGCTTGTTCAGCCTCAGGCTCTGCCATCGGTGGGGCTGGGAACAGGGGAGCACAAGGTCCCCGCTCTCCCTGCAGCCAGGTGCCTCCCCAGGAGGCTCCTAAATCCCCTTGGGGCTCAGCACAGCAGCCCGGCTGCTTTGGGACGCCCCCGTCCCCCGGGCTGCCCCCAGCCCTGGCAGGGAAGTGTGGCCAGTAGTGACAGCCCTGCCAGCCTTAGGGACAGCCCGAGCCACTACGATTAGATTCGTGCCACGGAGGGGTCGGAGGCCAGGCCACCTGCGACCTCTGGGTATCTCGGACGTGGCTGGTGGGGGGCTAACGCTGACCCGACGCAGGGCTGGCCAGGGCCTTCGCCGGGGATGGCCGTGAGGGAGCCTGACCCAGGCTGCCTCGCACAGGGCTTTGGCCAGAGTCCTGCCAACTCCTGCCACATGAGAGTGGGCAGTCCTGGACCATGGCTCTCTAGCACAGTTTTTCTCAAC